CTCTTTACCTTTATTGTCCGAGGAGACTAATTGAATCTCGCTTTACATACCAGTAACTGTCTCATTATTGAACCACTAATAAATGTGTAATCGTTTTGTTTCAGGCTCTCCAAGAAAAAGTTCCCACACACATTGTTACAATTGCTACTCTCACTGGCCATGCCGTCTTGGCTATGGGTCCTGCCTACTCAGTAAGTGGTAATTAAATTGCCAGTACTGTTATACAGTCAACTTTCTCACCGAAGCGATTCCATGTTGACTGAATGACGTTTTCGTTTATCAGTCAAGTACAGTTCCTGAACTCCCTCTTAATTGACCACTCGTCAAACTTCTTAAGAGAGCGCAGCCATTTTCAGGAGAAAAAATTGGATAGCTTCATTACTCGTGTGTTCGGGAAGGTAACCACCAAACAATGATTACTGTTAAGAAATTGCAAAAAGCTAAAATCATCACGAAGGAAATAGATATGCAGTATCTCATATATGGCACTTGAATGGAAGTTTAGTTTGAACCAAGTGAGTGAAAGTGATTTAACAAGGAACGCATTTCGAACTGTAAACATCAAAGAATGAAAAAAAGCTAGTAGTGTACTGTAATATGTTGCCTGCATAGTATATGTTCTTTTGAAAGGTACTCTTCGTAACTGCAACCGGCAAAAAATAGTGATGAGTGGTGGCCCCGTTAGGTCTCGGCTTTTGTTCTTGATTTTTCTCCAACTCCAACGTGATTTAGTCATTACTTGGGGCCCAAATTTTTAGCTAAAACTGTTAACCTCAAGTAAGTGCGCGTAATAAACATCGCGAATTACCAGGGCAAACTAACTCAGTGCTGAGATAGTCTGTGGCAGACGAGCGTTTAATCCCCCTCAGGGTAGTGGGGGAAAGGGCGGAGTTGTACTCTAGGGCTCAAGTCAGAGGGTAGAGGATTAAAAAATTGACGTGGCCTTTAACTTAAGCGAGGGGGGGTAACTAGCTAAGTATCAGGAGGCTTAGAACTGGAAAAAGAACTGATGTGGTACGTACAATATTGACTCGAATTTCATGTCCTTGATGTGTGAAACATCGTTTATTTACCTCCCTGTTTTCCTTATTAGATTGTGATTGACAATGGGCCTGCAGCTCGTACCAAGTTTGCTCAAAATATCCAAAAAGGTTGGTGCTTTTTATTCGTTAAGCCTGGTACTACTAGTCTTTTCAAGAACATGCGAACTTTAAAATCCAAAGTTCAGCTAGCGTGAATTGTGAGTCGTTCTCACACTCACTCAATAATTTGTTTGTTATATTTCTAGCTGGACATGACATGGGTGATCCGTTTGAAATCTCGACAGTTCGTAGAGAGGTATTTGATAAGCTTTATTAATATAATTATCATCTTAATCTTGTCTTAAGTCGTCGTCACCCTAAATTTTTTTCATTCTTTTGATTTAAGTGAATTTTTTAAGTAAGAAATCTCACTTTGCGGCGGCCAAACATTTTCAATCTCGGAATTTTTTTGTCTTAAAGAGAAAGGAAAAAAAGCGAATGGGTTGCCTGAAATTCTCCTTCAACGACTTCATTGACTGACATCTAATTTCTCCTGACAGTATCAGCCCTGAATCAGACTTATTTAGGTAACGAGAATAAAGGAAATGGTCACCAGTTAAAGAAGCTCTTGATTGTTAAAACAAATTCTCATTAGTAGCACCCTAGGAAATGTACGGAGAACAGTATGGAGAATATTCAAACTGATGTTAGTATGTAAAGGGTTAAACGTGAGGCAGTGGTAAACGAATACCAGATAAAAAGCAAATTAAATGTCACTTTTCTTTTGCCTTCACAACTGCCTCATGTATCGTACATCTTTACTACCAGTTTTCATTTAGTTACAGAGAAAACCGATATTGCGATATTGCGGCGTTGGGAAGCGTTCATTGGTATTCATTTGTGTGCATTTCTTTTGTAAAATCTTTGAGGGTTAAATTTAAGTCGCTTTTAATCTTACACGGTTATCACAAAAAATGATACAGAAAAGTTGTTTAACACTGTTATTTCCAAATCCGTGTTAAAAACTCGGCAAGATTGAACTAATATGAATAGGTTGTGTTTGTTCTTTGTTTGATTTTCAAGGACCAACAGTCCTCTTTATTGGTTTTCACGTAAATTTCACTCAGTTACTTCACAAGCCTCGTCCCAAAATAAAAAATTATAAACCTTCGCTTTGCCAAACACAGAATATTCTAAGTCATGGAGATCCTTTTGTCCTAAAGAGCGAAAACTAAACAAACAGGGAACCCAGCTAACAAATTTATTGACTCTATTCAGGATTACGACTTCGTCAGAGCCCATTCAGAGTACGCAGACGTATTGCAGTGTAATAACTCTCCATCCAGTAGAACACCCAGAGGACATCAGTTCCCAGCTGCTTTCCTCATCAGGGCCTCAGGACTTGATAAGGTGAGTTCAAATGTTACTTTGTAAAGAGGGGTTTTTTCTTTATGCGCTACTTCGATGAAATTTTTCTGCAGTTGGGTACACTGTAGCTAATCGTGCATCGATTGGTTGGATGTGAATATCTCTTATTTTTTTTGTTTGAAACATCGAACAATCAATATGTTATGCTTTGTTATCACTAAATATGGTAACAATAAGCAGAATTATTGTTATACACGCATTTTGATTGGTTCTCTCTTATGGTCAATTGGAGGAGAAGCGCAAAGATGACGTCACCGCTAACAACATTTTGCTTCTAAATCTTATAAAACAAATAGATTCCGTGTTGCTGTGGGTCTGCATAGTTATAGATCACAGGAGAAGTCAAAATGTGGTAAAACATCGGTGACACACAAGGTTGCGCGTAATTGGCCCTTTTTGTCCTTACCACATGTTGACGTCATTTTTGATCTATTATGAACAAACGCAGGGCAATATGGAATCTATCTGTTAAATTTATTTATCTATTCATTTATTTATTTTTCATACTAGCATGGTATTGACTCAAACCAGCCACTCTGTTACTCTCACTTTGACATTGCTGGATCAAGTGGTACATTCCCACAAGTTCCTACTGGGGCGCCAGTGGTTGCCATGACAGAAACCTTTCTCAAAAGCCACTGTTGAACAGATCATAAGCTGATAGCTTTGCACAGCTTCATTTTCTTGCTTGAGCACGACACTTCAAAGATAGATCAGCACGAGAAATCTGATTTCTGTTGATTTTCGTTGAATTAGTTCTAGAATGATGTGGGAGTCGCAACGGCATATGCAAGGCTTAAAATATAATTTTGAAAAGAAACAGGTTAAATGACTGATGAAGTGTTAGATAATCTCGAATGAAATGATCGAACAGGTAACTTTTAAATTTTAATATTGAAATAGTAATTATTAATATGGCAAAATTAGGAAATACTAGTGGTGAAGTTGAGCTGAGATAAATAGGTTCTGAAAAGTTTGTACTTAGTCGTCTTTTTCGTAGAATCTCAGAGTTTTCGATAACGCTTCGGTGTGAAAGTTTGAGCCAAAGTATTGCTGGAAGTAGTGAGAAACAACGTAACATGTCAGTGATTCCTCGCGGTTGTTTGAAAAATTTAGTGGAATATGAGTGACAAATAAATTAAATAAAGAATTTTTTTGTTGTTGCTGATTCTTCCTTTTTTTGTTCGTCATTTTATTACTTAACCCTTCATTCCCAAGATATGATTTTTACTTCTACATTCCAGCTGCCGCACATTGTCATGTAAGTCACCAGGAATTTGGTGTTAAATCAAGGCAAAAACTTCAACCTGATAAGTTGAAGTAGTATCATTACCTGTTTGCTGGATAATGTAAGGATATTAGGAAGAGAAGTAACAAATTAATCGCTTCTGGAAGTTAAAGGGTAAAATCAGTATTACTGAATTCAGGGTAACATGAAGATAGTGTTGTAAATGCTGTCAATCCAAAATGTGCCGCGGTCAGGAGTGAAGAAACTTTTGTTAATTGAAATACCACACAATGACTCTTTTTTTGTTTGTTAAAATGCGACATGACTTTAAGGAGATCTTATTGTAGTGTACGGTCTTTGTCTTGCATAAGTGGCACGCCACCTTTCCAGGGGACGAGAAAACTGCCAAAACCAACGGATATTAATAGAAATACAAGCTCGCGAATGCAGCTATGTTCGTTTACCATTTCGTTTATGTACCATAAACATTTTAAGGATCTTCGTGAATCCGCTGAAATTAGTTCCCTCACTGGAAAAACGCAGGTTAACGCGTACTAAGTTATTAACGTTTGCGTCTATGATAACTGTCTGACTGCACAAGTGTTTACTTGAGAAGGGTACTTGGTTAGAGCAACAGTTCTCCATGGAGTCAGAACCAGGTGATTGGATTGGGCTAGATTATAGTCAGTGCCAGCAGTATCCCACCGTTATCAAAAAAATATATTGATATTTAAAAGAAAAAAAGATACCATTGTCAAATGACAATATAGATGGGTAGCTCACTGCCCAACTATGCATGTTGCGTGACGAGCCATGCGTGACGCATTTGCTCTATTGGACGAAAAACACTGGAACTAGTTAAAGTTTTAAAGTTCTTTTTTGTGATACTTTAATAGCGATGGATGCTAACTGACCATTCTGTTTCCCAAGCAGGGGCAAAAACAGCAGCTTAGACAACAGTTGCCTTTCAATACATTTTTTCTCTTGTTTGATAGTGTATGAATTGAAAAATGGCCTCACAGTGGATGAAAATCTCTGAAATGGAGACCACGTGTGACAGTCAGTTCAACTACAAGGTAAAGGTAAGGAACAAATACGATCGTCATTAATGTAACTTTTATTTGAGCACGATAATCCTGAAGCTATAAGATTTTAAGTCGGGTCTCTAGCTGCAGAATACTGACTGGGCACGAAAGTGGGTCTGAGAACAGAGACAATTTGTCGAGTAAATCGATCCTCGATACATAAACAGTAATTTGCACACTTTGTTACATTTTATTTTGACCTACGTATTGTCGCCTAGATCTTTTTGGCCCATTCCTTGGTGGTAAGGATAAGCTCTTTTTGAAACATTGTTTAAGGCCTCAGTCCGGCATGAGACGAGGCTTGAAACGAGCTCAATGCAATTCTATAGGTAGATACCAAAGTGATAACGCTTGATCCATAACAACATGTTATAATACTAGCATTCGATCAGTTTTTTCTTCGTTTTCTTTCTCAACGGTTTTGGAAGGCAAACTTACACTGAGAGACGTTTTGTGTAATACTTGTTTATCAAATAGTGTCTGAAGCAGAAAGTGTGAAGTGCACTCATCACAAATACACTGTACTTCCTGACATGGTGTGATTCAAATCTATTTGTATCTATATGATAAGTTGAATTTTACACACATTTTGATTGGTTCTTATCTATGGTTTATTAGAGGACAGGGACAAAGATGATGCCACAAGTAAAAAAATTTTGCTTTTTTATGATATAAAACAATTATGTTCAGTTCAGTGACAGATCACATGAGATGTTAAAATGTATTAGGGACAACAGTGGTACAATTGTCTGGGCCTCATGTGTCACTCTTTTGTTCTTACCAGATTTTGAGGACATCTTTGATCTGTTACTAGACTTCTCTATTCTTGCAGTATCATTGTCAAATACCCCTACCAGTCATGCTGTTACCTATTTAACAGTTAATGTCTTGCTTTTTTTTCCCACCAAAATGAGTTGTCTTCCAAGTACAGTTTTACTTCTAAGGGTATTTAAGAAGTTCAGATGAAATAAATAGGATAGCCATTTTCAAATAAGGGTAAAAGAGTGGTACAGGGTAAATTGTCAACAAATGGAGTGCTACTTCAGGAGTAACAAATGAAGCAGATATATTTTTTCCAATTCCAATTATACAGAGGGGAATGTTCATTTTACTTGCAGAAACTTAAAAAGAATAAAGTCAAGCCTGTAACCTGACTGTGTGACTGAAGGATCTTTGAATTACAGTTTGTTGAGCTGTTTCAATCCATGAAGTGCCAGAAGTAGACTACTTTGGAGTCATGTAGGTCAAAGAGTTCATTCATCTTCACTAGAATACATGACTGACTGACTTACTGGTTGGCTGGCTGACTGGCTGACTGACTGACTGAATGACTGACTGATTGGCTGACAGACTGTCTGACTTGCTGTCTGACTGACTGATTGGCTGGCTTGCTGACAGACTTACTGTCTGACTTACAGACTGACTGGCTGGCTGGCTTGCTGGCAGACTGACTGGCTGACTTGTTGACCCGCTGACTGACAGACTGACTGATTGACTGGCTGGCTGGCTGACAGACTACTGACTGACAGACTGACTGACTGACTGACTGGTTGGCTTGCTGACTGACTGACTGATGACTGAATGATTTGCCAGCTGGCTCACTGGCAGACTGACTGACTGGCCGACAGACTGACTGACTGGCTGACAGACTGGCTGGGTGACTGACTGACTGATTGACTGGCTGGCTGGCTGGCTGACTGACTGGCTCACTGGCTGACTGACTGACTGACTGACTGGCTGACTGACTTACTGACTGGCTGGCTGGTTGACTGACTGACTGACTGATCAACTGAATTGATAATATATTGAGTTATTGAGAAAGTGATTAATTATTTTATGTTGAATGATTACATACTGAACCTACATGAACATGTACTTGGGTGTTGAATTGATTTATTGCCTTTCCATTCGACTATTTCTCTCTGATAGGCTCAACTTTATTTTTCACTTCTGGGCTGGTCTGGGAAACTGAGAAGGGCGATCTTTGACAAGAAAAAAGTATTTACATGTACCCCTCTTTCAATTCAAAGAAAAATGTGTATTACCATATCTTTTGAGTTACATACACCACCAAAATATTGTTTCACTGGGGATGATGTGAAAGTCAGTCGTGGAAACCTAGCAACTGTCTCCTTTTTTCTTGCACAAGGGCTGACTATAGCAGTATTCCAAGCGTTCAAAAACCCGTTATCTGGATTAGTCAAGCCTATGTAATTGCCACTTTCTATAAATGATCATCATGCACTTATTGGTTACACTTATATTAAGTCTTCAAATCAAACAGGAAAAAGCCCAATGACTCAAACTTTTTCCAAACCATTTCTGTTTTCAGATCCGACACAAACAAAGGAAGCCACGCCTTAAGTCACAATTAGACTACAACTTCACACAACAAGGTCGTGTGCACTTCTAAGTACCAGTCACAAACAGGTATTCAGTGGCACTGTGAGTTCTCACTTAAGTTTGATTCTGTGTATTTAATCTCATCTTCACACATTTCTATACCAAAAACAAACGAAATGTGGCGCGTAGTACGCGAGATTTATTCTAAAACTTTCGGCTCTACCGAGTGAATTTGCGTGTATTTGTAGGCTGCAACTTGTGAGGTATAGTATGAACTATATATTAGATAGTTTTTCATTCAATTATTTTTCAAAACGTAGATGGAGTACTGATAGGAATCTAGAATTCAGTAAGTCAACTCAGAGTAGTGTGGGCAAAATGAAACGATCGAGAGTAGTTCTGAAACGCGCGCATTTTAGTTAAGAATGTTTTACAGTCAGACGAATTTTCAAACAGTTGTTAGAATATAGTTCGTTACTGTTAGTGTGAGTCAGCTGCCTTTCGGGGAAGTTACATCTAAACAACAACATCGTTTACCAAGTTTACTCATAGACTTTGTATACTTGAATTGTGTCCTCACGACTCGTACAGTTAACCAGTTTTTGCGTTTTTATTCGCTCTTGAGAACAGAACGTGTTGTAACAGCCTTTGGAAAAGAAGCAGCAATAACATCTGAGGCCAGCCCTGACTTGGCCATTCTAAAACTTTATCCTTGTGACTTAATGCCACGGTAAATGTGTGGTCGTGATGTACTGTCGCTTTTTTCAGCGCCAAAAGAATCAGCTACCAATTTTCGGTTAGAGTCAACCTCTTTCCTCTCGGGTGGAGGGGTAGGGAAATTAGCAAGAGTAGTGAAATGGAGTTCACTTTGGCTCTGCTTTTTCTTTTATTACTTTTTGAATTTTTCTGATATAAATGTATGGTAACCAAAGATTAACATTCAATAAATGGTGAAGCAATCTGTCAGGTATTTACACCCGCAAATATGTTTTGCACAAATTATATTTTTCAGATGGACAATTATTTATTTGAAGATTGCAGTAGTGGATGAATTGTCTGGGCTGTCTTCGGGGATTGAAAGTTTCAAGCTTAAATGTCGATATACTGATTTCAGGTTAGAAATGTCTACATCTTACCTGGTTCTGGTAATATGTATTTTTTTCATTGATTCAGAGGTTTGGTTTGAAAATAAAGACCTTAAGCAAACCACGACGGCTTTAGCAACGAGAACGTGGCCAAACAAAAGGTTTAATGAGCGCATCAGTTGTTCAACACGTGCGTTTTAAAATTCTGTACATTTCTTAGCTATCCTCTGCAAAACAACAACCTTAATTCGCCAAATTTTGCTTGGAAGGAGGAAAGGAACTATTCACGTTTCCATTTGAAACTAAACGCTAATAACATATCTTATGCTGAAGATGAGGTGTGGCGCCGTTAGAGACGGTAATTAAATCTACCCTCTAGCGAAATTCTGAAGAAAACATTAATTCTTTTTTTTTTAATTATTATTGACGTTGTGGAGCCATTGTAGAAAGTAATGATCAGAGCAGACGTTGTATTATGAAAATTCCATGTGAGAAGCAAATTCTACGCTACCCGAGGGATTGAAGTGTTTTCCAAAGACTCGAATTCAATAGCAGCACTCGGTCTATGGTTTTTTCTTTTCCTCGGTTTTCTTTTCTTTTCTTTTCTTGCTTTTCCTTTCTGTCATTCTGATAATTTGTACTGTCCTTTTCTCGTAGTAAATGTTGTCGTTAATTTGCGGCCAGTTTTAAATATCTATGGAATAAGGTGACGGAACAGTGTATAGTTACAGAGAAAAAACTCATCCCATTCTATGTTGTTGATTTCATTTTTTCTTTCAAATTTATTTATATATTAAATTATGTTCTTGAATTTACTTCAGATTGACGAGAAGGAAAGCAAGAGTCCTGAGAAAAATATCAACCAAGGAGAGAATGCAAAATTTGGGGTCGATCTGCCACCTAACCCCTCTACACCCGTTTCTTATAGAAATTTTTAAGTATTTGTAAAATACATGTGTACGTTGTGGTAACAACATCTTGTAATACGCATGTGTCTAAAGACACACATTTGGTTACACAAAAAAGCATGACTTTGAAATAAATGTTAGTACCACAAGGTTGACTAGGTTTAGAATGACTTAAGAAAACCGTTTGCCAGAGGTGGGTGCGGCGGGGGAGGTCGGATGGGTGAAAAAAGAAACTGTCTGAGTATTGTAATATTACTGTATTGTAAGATGTTAAAAAATATTGTAATATTACTATTGTAGTGTATGTTAAAGATTCTTATGTAATACTGTACTGTGGTGTATTAAAAGATGTTTGTACCACAGAGTAGATGACTTATCAAGAGTAACAAAAACTGACTGAAAGTGAAAGGGGTGGTGTACGGGGAACTGCTTTTGGTTACTTTCCAAGGTAGAGAACTGTTATAAAGTGTCTAATAGAGGCGGGTGTGATGGGGAATGGTGGACGGATCGAACCCCATTTTTTCATTTTATTCCCTGAATTGGGGGTCGATCCAATCTTGCTTTCTTTCCAAGATTGATATTTGTCTCTTGTCTTTAGTCTCTAGTTTCATGTTTAAGGTGATCGTGTTCCCTGGTATCCAGCTGTGGGTGGTCGAAGAAACCTACAAAACATGGAAATGAAATCAAAACCAAGAATTTGAGCCATAAAAACGTTACCGACAAACGAACTTTTCCGGCCACAAGACTAAGACAAACCTCCACAAGCCTCTGTCCTTCATAACAAGGACGACACAAAATTTTCCTCTCAAAAGATCGTGAAAAACTTCCATTACACAAGTTTTCGTTCAAGTGAACTACAAAGCTACACTCACCGGAATAAAAAGTATTCTCGTCTTTCTTGACCTTTTTTACACTTGTAATCTTTGGGGTTACTGGAAGAGGAGAGGTACGCGATAATTGTATACATACAAATTGGCAGTGCTAAAAATGTACTGTTCACAGACAATTTCTGGACCATCATAACAGAATTACACAAGCTTTCGTTCAACTACGCCACAACAATTATTTAAAGTAACATTTTTACCTAATACTATTTTTCCAGCATCGAAGAGACCAGGAAAATTAAACGATTATAACTCAAGACCACTAGTTCTGGTTAAATATATTTTTAACCCTTAAAGCCACAAACAATTGAAGATGAAAATTTTAGGACCACCGGTTAACATTAAACTTATCCATTCATCTTAATCTCATCACTGAAATTGAAAATAAAGAAACATTTTAGTAGTTCTGACAGTTAATTCGTATCAATTATTGTTTCTAATAATCCAAATTATTTAAGATACAACTGATCGACAAATTTCGAGTTGAAAATTAAAACTATTTTCAGATAAAAGCTGAAGAATTGACATAAAAAGTTTGCTTTGGTGCATTTCGAATTTAGTCGATCGAAAGACCAAATAACTACCTGCCGTTTTCAGGAGACAAAACTAATTAGATTAATTAGACCAGCCCTGAAAAGTTTTTGAGTACCACCAGCCCTAACGTTGTGTCAGCTCCCAGGTAATGTTATCAAAAAGGAAAATGGAAGTAAATGAAGCCACGAAATAATAAGCTACGTTACCATAAACATTAATTAGACCAGCCCTGAAGACTTTTTGAAAATAGTTTGTCTAAAAATAATAGCATAATTCAGGCAAAACTAGTCTGTCACTCAGGCAAGATGCTAACGTTAACCATGGTTGCCACAGCCACAGGTTTTGAATCTTGCTGAGTTTCCTTGACTTTTCCCAGAAAAATGTACAATTCCCCTGATAAACTGAATCAAAAGTGTAACAAATCAGTCCGGATAATGGCCTCCGACCTTCCTTCACACATCCTCCCCAACCATGCATCAGGCTTTCAGCAAGTCACATGTAGACTACATGGGTCCAGAATTCCTTAACATAGCGAGGGAAAAGGATTGATTCTCTTGGAAACCCAACAGCTTGCTGTTCATTTCGTTAATAAAATATTCTCCCTATCAAACAAGTTTCATGTCCGTGAAATTTACCAAAGAATTGAAAAAGTTCGAAAACCATGAAAATAAACGAGAGAAGAAAATGTATGATTTTATTCTAAAACCTACTTGGGCTTGCATTTGAAGGGGAAACGAAGAGGCCAAAACAAGAGGAATGAGATCATATTTACTACAGATTTCACTTTTCCTTGACTCCTTTTAAAGCCTTAATTTTCCCTGAGTCAACGTGAAATTCCCTGACATTGAAAAAATTTTTTCCTTGAACTTTCCCCGACCTGTGGCCACCATGTGAAGGGGAACAAAAATCGTCATACTAAAGGGCGCCATAACAAAGCCGGCCTAAAACATTATTGGCCTCTAAACAAATTGACAATCTGAGTTATACCAATCTACCTGAAGAGACAGCTAAGGAGACTTTGAACTTAAGTGAGTCACAAAAGATTCATTGGCTTTTAATCCTATATTGAAAGCTGTTGAGTATTACTTGATCCTATACCAACAGGCCTATATCAGAAGCATACAACCTGGAAGCGTCTAAATTCTTCCAGCAAGCTAGGGTTTATTACGCGATCACTCAAAACGCGGATGCATTTCGCTTTAATAGGGAACCAGAGGTTCAGGCAAAAGTTTCCTTTAACCCTTTCACTCCCAAGATCTATTTAGTAATTCTCCTTACTATCTGCCATACAATTCTTATGATGTTAGTTCAGAGAATTTGGTATTGGATCAACTAATAATCCCATGATTGATATTTTTCTGTATTCTCATCACCTGCCTGCTTGATATTGTATTGATATTGTAAGGAGAAATTCTGTCTTGGTCACTTGTGGGAGTGAAAGGGTTAAAACAGCTTACGGCCGCTTGCTTTCTTGGAGGACGTAGAAGTTCATGAGAACGAAAGCCGGTTTCGGATGCTTTCATTGCCGGGAAGCGCTGCAAAAGTTTGGTATTTACAGAGCGACTAGCAGAATATTTCTTGAAGATTTTAAGTCAAACTAGCTCTTAGATTTGGCGGTTTAGTGAATCAGTGAATCGAATGGATTTTTGCAGGTTTAAAACGAAAAGGATCTGCTCGAGAAAACCTGGCTTCTTAAAAAATTAACTGCTGAGTTTAAGAATAGACGAAATTAGGTTCGCATTCGTTAGTTAGGGCTGGAACATTCTCTTCCTTGTTCCTTTTTTTTTTTTAATTCGATTTTACTCTTATGTAAGCCAAAGAGCCAAATTCTTTCTTTCTTCTAAAAACTTGGTTTTCAATTAGCGAACAAAAAGCTCTGAAGGGCCTGTTTATATGGAGGTGGGGGACCCCAGGTTGGTGAGGTTACCCGCCTAAGTGGGGTAACCCGCCAGTCTATATAATCTCTTATTTTATCTTGATCACGTTTACATGATAGGTGGGGTGACCCGCTTAGGCGGGTTGCCTGGTCTGCTGGGTAGGGTAACCCTGTCAGCCGGGGTGACAATTTGCCATGTAAACGTCTCAAGGTGGGGTAACCCGCCTAGCCGGGGTGGCGTTCATGTTACAAAAAGATCAAATGAGCCAAACAATAGCGATACACAAGTGTGTTAAAACTTTTTACATTTCCTTGCCGTCCCACGCGCGTCACGAGCTAAAACGCTAACATACCTTTGTTTACGTCCCCTTAGCAATGAAACCTCGACGGCGATTTAGTCACGTTTTTACTTTGAACTCAACCCTACATTCGCATGTTATGCCGCAATGGCGATAGCAACCTCGAGAAACTTCACCCCGACATCCCGGGGTTGTAAGATTGTATGTAAACATGGGATTTTTATCAACCACGGCTAGGTGGGTTACCTCACCCACCTTGGGTCCCCCACATTCATGTAAACAGGCCCTAAATGTCTAATTACATTAATTGGCTGTAGGTTACGTGTTTTTCTCTGGTTATGTGAGATTTTATTTGTGAGATTTTGTGGAAGAGTTGCACTTGAGCCGTAAAGAGAACTCGTCGCGCAAGGACAGAGCTCTAAGTAAATGAGATTGTCTTTACATTCCACCCAAACTAGAAGGTAAATTCTGATAGGCGAGTCACGTGCTGTAAAAAGCCCAGCCCTGCTACATATCTAAAATGATGCTTCTATGTTGTAGTTTAAATTGAATACGTGCAACATCTTAACGATTACGAAACACTTACCTTGAACACCTCATTGAGATGATCATGGTCCAATAATCAACTGAAATCTAAGACAGTAAACTTGTCTCTGCTCTTGATTTTGTCCTGTATCAGGATTGAAGATACAAAAATCAACAAACATAACTCCTTTAGTTAATAAATAAGCTTTCATATATAAAGCAGAAATTAAGTCTAATCAAATATTTTCAGAGGTTTGTTAAGTGTAACCGACACCTTAGTAGGTCACTTATTAGTCACCGATCTCTGGTGCAAAGTTAAACATCCGATCAGTGCATAAAGACAGTCCAGTGTCTCAAACAGTTTTTCCTCTTTTTTGAGGACCAAGTCTTTGCATCATAGATCAAGACTAAGGAAGAGTTGTGTTTGTTGAAACCAACTCCTTAGCAGGTCAGCTTTCAGTCACCCATCTCATGTACAAAGTCAAACACCTGATCAGTGCCTAAAGACTGTCCAGTATCAGAAACAATATATCCTCTTTGTTGGGGACTAAGTCTTTGCATCACAGATCATGGCTAAGGAAGGGTTGTGTAAGGTGAAACCAACTCTTTACCCAGTCAGCTTCCAGTTACCCATCTCTTGTACCAATTCAAACACTCACTCAGTACATGAAGACAGTCCACTATCTGAAACAATTTTTCCTCTTTTAAGGGAGGACTATGTCTTTGCATCACAGATCAAGACTAAGGAGTTGTGTATGGTGAAACTGAAAAGACAGTCAATTTCCAAACAGCTTTTCTTTTTTTTTGTAAAGATGAAGACTTAAGAAGGTATTTTTTGGGTGACACTAACTCTTACTGGCTCAACATTTTGTTACCCATCTCTTGCAAAAAGTGATCATCAATTAGGCACAGAAACTCATTACAGTTTCAGAAACAGGCTTTAGATTGAAATAACTAATCAGCATGTGTCATTTTACTCTTTAACTCCAAGATCAAATTTGTAATTCCCATTACTAGCAACCATACAATTCTTATAATGTTAGTTCACAGAATCTAGTATTGGATCAACGAACTATTCCCAAATTGATATTTTTCTTTATTCTCATCACTAATATGGATGATATTGTATTGATATTATAAGGAGAAATTCTGTGTTGGTCACTCATGGGAGATAAAAGTTTAATATCATCTTATCAGAAATTGGTTACCTCATCAATCAAAACATGTCTTCTCTGTTTAGTAAATGGTTAGAACCCAAATTAGATTGTGTAGTAAATAGCTCACCGTGTAATGGAACTTCCATGGAAAAGGTTTAAGTTAGCAGAGGGCTTTGCATGATGTGAAAGCACATCACATTCAATGACTTCTTTTTTAAAGAAATAGTTTTCAACCTTTCTTATCTAAAGATGACTCTTCTTTGACCAAGGACAAGACTTTTTTAATTTCCTTATAAATTTCAGAATTTTCCTTTAAACTGTGCTCATTATCTTGTTTGTTTTTATGCTTTAGGTCATGTTTTTTGACAGAAAAAATTAAATTTCTCTTGCAAGACCTGATATTGACTTCGGGAGATAGATCCATCCACATTGCAATAAATATAGATACAACTATCTTCATTGTATGTATTAGATACAGCTATCTAAGCTGTAGTCCACCGAGGATGCAGCTATCTACCCTGTCTACGTTATTATTAAATACAAGAGATTTGGTTTTATCAACTGATTTGAAAAAGGTAAATTGGCCATTGTAAAGAGTTTTTAAACCTTATGTTTTGCGTATTGATGGAGGGCTAAAGCTTGAAATGTCAGCTTAAGAAACTCTTAATAGTGGCCAATTTACATTATCAACTCAGTTGATAGAACAAAATTGTATTGTATTACTCCCCACCAATGAAGCACCACAGTTTCTTTAAAAACTGTATTACTTTATATACACCTATAGAGTGTTTATATCATAAACAGACAGCTATCTGCAGTGTCTACAAAACATGGCTACGTACTGCAATTTATTCTGTCTGCAATGGATACAATAATCAACACTGTTTAGACTGGATTAAACCATCTTGTATGCATCTGCAGTGGGTAGTATACCGCAGAATCGCACAGATACAGCTATCTACTCAGTATTCGGTAAATGTAACCATCAGAGTGCAGAGCCCTCAGGGGAAGATTTGAATTTCCCGCGTTCGGGTACAAAAATAAAATCAAAACGAATTAATTAAACAGTAGATTATCAGGAATAAAAATATAACGCTCGGGAAAACCATCCTTAGAATTAAATTTAAAAAAATGTACAGAACAAAACAGCCTTCAGATATACCTTATCCTTGCACGAGTTTCAGATGTTTCGGTGTCCAGCGGTGAGTGTATGGACATCAACCTTCAACATTTTTGTGTCTGGCAGCCAAGGAAATCATTCATAATCAATTCAAACGAAAGAACCGAATGAATATATGTGTGCTTTAAAATCTAAGTGATACTGAAGGGCCGTTTTCTCTCGGAGTTTCATGTCAAATGATGGTGATGTTTCTCCAACTACATTCTCCATGTTCCTCATGGTAGCTCAAGTAGTTCCCAGTCCTTACGGTTAGAAGAACCAAACAACCTCGTTCTCGGAGTTCTCCCCGGTGGGCGAGGGCTGAATATTTGCAAAGATATAATTCTTCTTGACCGAATTTGAGGTCCATACTGAATAGTTACGGACTGTGTTGCTCCCCTCTCGATTTATGGAAGATTGCAAGATTTGAGAGCACCACCACTACTGTATTTTTCCAACTTACATTCTTAGGTTCAATTACATCACAAGATTCCTTTTTTCTCCTTCTTTTCTGGGCGTTGGTTAAGAAAGTCTCGCGTTATCCATATAATCTACTCAGGTCTGCCACCCGTAAGCATACTTGGCGCAATAGAAACGGCCTCCCCTCTCAAACGAGAAGTCTGAGATCCCGAGCGTCTTTCTGTTTCTTTTCTTTTCTTCTTTTTTATGTTTAATTTCTTCTTCAAAAGCATTTTTTTTTCACTCGTTCCGCCTAAGATAATTCTTCAAGAAAGCCTCTCTACCACAAAACTAATTGTAACGAAAAAGAACTTTATTAGTGAAGTCATAGATTACAACCCCTGCTGACACAGAATACGATGCACATGTAAAGAAAAGTTAATTTTTTCCATATATAATTATCAAGAAGGTACTTATCAATTTGAATAAACCTACTCTTTTTCAATAGCCATCTGGTATATGATTCTTATAGTATTTTTTATAATATGAGAAATAAAATAAATATATATATTTTCAATATTTCGTTTTGCTAACTCTAACCTCCTATTTTTCACCCAATTGGCACCTGGTCATATGCCAAATAATTCAACTAACCTCCAATAAAGAAAGAAAATCTATGAAAAGTCTTTGGTTACCAAAAATTTCGTTTACATTGATTTCGAAATAAATTAATGTCCCATAATTAAATAGTTTCTATGCATCACTAGCTATTCTTTTTTTAGTCTAATAATTTAACATTTCTATTTTGCACAGCATCCATTGACTCTCCTTGCTGGTATCAGTTTTCTCTAAATGCTATGGAAGGGAGAATTTGAATCTTCACTTGATAAGTTCAGTTGTTCTCAATTCGCTAGCATAACATCTAAATCAATCCAATTGGATAATGTTACCACCTCCACACCGAGGTACTTACGTACGTCCGTGTAGTTGTGAATTCGAGGCTCTGATAACTGAGCGAATGCTTCAGAGAGGCGTGCGCGTTTTCTCTTTCAAAACTTCGCGTAATTCGATGCTAGTCGCTAAGTTGCGAGTTTGATGGTTTGTTACAAAAATCGATCGTAACTATTTGAGATACGTCCGAATGGGGCTGGACAAAGCCGTCGATTCATTAGATATACCACGGTGTTCGGTTAAGTTAGGCGCGGAAAAAACTTTTGTATCGAGTTTAAACAGTGAAAAACGGTGTTGCCACGGGCAACCCTCCTAGTTTCCAGTGATAACCGAATCTCAAGAGCCGTGCGTCACCAAGCGTCAAATAAGAAAGCCTGCCAAAAGAGGTCAAATGATATGGTGCCACTGGAAACGGAGCCACTTGCCCGTGACAACAAAACGACTTTAAATTAAAACGTGGTCGCCAAACTTACGTCGCACCTCACTCAACTTTTTGCGTTACATTACTAATATAGTGCTCTGGGAAATAAATTAAACTGGAGCCTTCATGTCCTTGCAGTAGCAGAATTTTCTAGCGTAAGGTTCTTTACGTGAAATACAGCTGGGCTGATTTCCATAAACATTTGTCCGACTTATAAACGGGTTCACTTTGACTTTGTGATCATCTCTCACGGCCACTGATGCTTCAAATAATGCGTCACCAGGGGTTGTCATAAAATTAATTCTGTAGTGACTACTGTCTGGAGTTGGTTCGCCGAAATTCACGGCACGATCTGAATCTTGATTGGTGCTACTAAATCTCCGCAGTTTGTCGTTTGGTCTGTAACTAACAGCTTTTAAAATCTTTTTGAGCTGGACCTTAGCGCAAGACCCTCTTAGTAGCTCTGTTCTACTTAGGATGACGTCATTAATGTATTTGACAGCCATTTCTGCTCCACCAATCACATCCTTACTGCTTGCGTTTACCTCAGTAAACTCCAGGCATGGGCACCAGTGATCGTCGACTCCTTGTTGTGAAAAGCAAACAAACAAAAAAGCAAAAAAAAGGAAATGTTGTCAGTCTTCAGTTGAAAAAAAATTAACTCCCTGAAGTGATTAAAATGTAACTTTCCAAGATAATGTCCATTTATTATTCAGCAAACAGGTAATGAGAAAACTCAAACATATCAGGTAAGAGTTGTTGTTCTGTTTCCACCAAATTCACGTGACTAGGAAATGTGTTGCGGCTGGTGGGGAGAATTAACCATCAGATCTTGGGAGTTAAAGGGTTAAGTTGGTGTTGGAAGACGGCAATTATGAAAATAAAAGTTAGTTTGAATTTTTTGAGTGTTTTTAAAAAAAAATATGCACACAAGCACTTGAAAATAATCTGAACTTTACGACATGGCGCCATGGCGAAAAAGATTCGGAAAAAAAGATCCTTGGTTGACAAAGAAGCTCATAATGTATTCTAGATGGATAAGAGAATCTTGAGGAAAACATTTGCGTTCTGTAGACTTGGCGGATTTTTTTGTTTGAGTTAAGATTGTAAATCATTGTCAGCACGTTATTCTTGACCGACCAAAGTGCACCAGCGGGCTGGTATGGAGCAATAGAGAAACCTGTCTTTGATGTTAAATCTTTAGTCAAAACTATAAGTGGAGAACGTCAAATTCTCAGGGCACGCTGACTTTCCTGCGCAAGGAAACTCGACAAAGGGCATCCAGTACAGGAGAAATCTTAGAAACCAAAAGCACCGAAATTTAGTTTTAAATGTAAACTCTTTCTTACCTGCATCACTGCAAGTCCTTGTATGTGGTAATTGCGTGAACAAGCTCTGTGTCTTCTCTCCATGAGGCTCTTTAGGGTATGTTAAGATGTGACGTAACGTGGCATGCATGTCAAACGGTGATGTTATTATGTGTTGATTATGTTCCAAGGCCAACCCTATATGCGGGAATTTCCTTATAAGCCAATCAGGAACCGAGATAGAGAGCCAAGGTAACCTTTCCTCCAGTTTTCCCTGCATAGTATTTCGGACGTCGTCATTTCGCGAGCCGTGATCTCCAAATAGTATAATCATAGTGTTGTTGTGATAATTGCGTTCGACAAAAGTGTGGAGCAATCGCAAGATGTCGTTGTCAGCATAACTTAGATGATTGGGATGCGCGTGAGTCAGGTACGACATGAAAGCGTAGGTAAATTTTGGGGTGTCTGGATACGCTGCAAAGTAGCTGAGGATATAGTCTAGGGTATGATTAACCATAAATGTCGAACGCGAGCATAATCCTGGTTCGTCTCGCTCGCCCTTTTCTTCCAGTGCCAGCCAAAACGGCCTCATATAGTGATGAGCAGGAGGGTCCCTAAAGCCCATGAGCCTTAGATTGAATGCACCCATGGTAGGGTCATCTTCAGACATCAATGTAACGTATCCGCGCTCCTTGTACAGTTTCATAATCCAGGGCCAGTTATCAATGGGGGCGGCATTGCGATACCCTTGTCGGCCCTCGGGCGGTTCTGTCTCGTACAGGCCTGTCAAAATGGCGGTAAGTGCGGGTGTTGTAGCATCACCAACTACAGTTTGACCGGACATGAAGTACGTCTTCAGCGCCGTCTTAAGATAGTTTATCGTTTTCGGCATCTTTCGGCGGAAGTTTGCAGCAGAAACAGAATCAATTCCAAGCAATAAAACATTTAAGTCTAACCCTTCATTTTCTCCTTGCCCATTGAGCTTTTCTCTAATCAGTTTCGAATTTTCGATGACATCTTGTTGCGGAACAGCTCGCGCGAAGTAAGTTGTAACTTCTTTTCTACTTTTAAGTCTGTAGTCGAGAATCAAAAAATCCGAAGCGTTTATCTTGCGGGAAGGTTGGTATTCCTGTGTGGAAGATTTGAAAGGATTCCCTTGATCCTCGTAATGCACGTTACCGTCATCACCCTGATTGCGATGAATTGTCTCCACGTTTACGTGACTGAAATCGATGGAACTACCATCCACCTCCCCCGAGAGGACCAGTCTATTACCAACGATGTCAAATGCAGATACAGGGTATCCATTTCCACAAACGGGGTCGTTACCGACATCTCTCAACAGATGTCTAATGGAGAGGTCCCATGGGTCAAGTTCTGGCAGTTTACAAGAATTCAGATCCGGAGTTGGGGTGTATACAGGTGTTGGTGCGCCTGTGGAGCTTGGTGTTGTATATGGAGTGGAAGGAAGGCTAGAGTGGTCTTGCTGCGTTCCTGAGGTAGCATTAGTAAACAAAACGCTTACTAACGTGGAGTTCAACTCAGTTTCAAGATTCTCGTCGCGTTCAGATTTTGAAGGTTGTGTTGACCTCGGTGTTGTAGTAATATCCGAGGATTGATTTGCCGAATTACTTGTGGTCGCTAATTCCTCATCGTCAACCTTTGTAGACGAGTTCCGATGTTCGCTTCGAGTTTTAACTATCTCTGGTTTCAGTGATTGGGTTGACCTCGGTAACGTGAACAAAGGAGAGGAATGACTTTTGTTTGTCTCAGTTTCAGATGTTCTCGATTTGACAAGGTTACTTACAGTAGACGTGCTGCCATTTTTGCTTCTTGTAAGTGGCTTGGCTGTAGTCGGTAACAAGTCAGGATCAGGAACCTGCTTTTCCGGCGGTACCTCCTCTTCGGTGGTGTCGGATGGGCGATTAACCCCATGTTCATTTAGCCAGTCTAATGTGTCCTCAACTTCATCATTTGCTTCCAGTCCCCTGTGGATCTTTCGCGGAGGGTCGGTTACAGCTTCAAATGGAATTGTTTTAAGCTCCTGATCCGAGTCATTATCGTCGTCACCAAACAAGTCATCGTCTCCTGTTTTGTCTTTTCTTTTGTCTTCGTGTGTTTCCCTCGTGGTGAAAGATTTGTCTCTATCAGGAATGACACTGAAAAAAGAATCGACAAAAAATAGAAAATAAAATGATTGTTCTGAATAAAACGTTTTTTCGCCGCCGCAAGACAAACAAAGCCAGAAAAAAAGGCGTTGCTGGAGCAAGCGAAGGAAGGAAAAATGTTGTGTGTTATGTGTCACGCTTTCCGCCGCCAGCCCTTAACCTTTCACTTTTACATGTTCCTCCAAGTCACTCTTTGTTATTTTTTTTGATCGACCCGTCAGAATCAAATCAAAGAATTTACGGTTTTCCGATTGTTATAGGGACTGTCGTATAGGTTTCACGAAACAACAACCTTATAGACAGAGATCAAGAGGAGAATACAGTCGAACCTGTATTAAGCAGTCACCCACCCTTTAACTCCCATGAGTGACCAAGACAGAATTTCTCCTTATAATATCAATGCAATGTCAACAAGATAAGAGATGATCCAATAGTAAATTCTCTGAACTAACATTATAAGAATTGTAAAGTTGACAGTAAGGAGAATTACAAATTTGATCGGGGAGTGCAAGAGTTAACACAGGTTCCACAGAGTAGGAGTATGTTTTGCCATGTTTTGTCATGAATGACCAGGCACTCAATTTACAAAAACTCACTCAAAAATACTGCTAACATTGATTTTCGGATTTAATTTTAATTTAAAGGTTATGCTAAGTTTTATTTGAGTGGTAGCGCTTTATGTGACCGTTCAACGCTGGTGGAGAACGATACAAACACAGTTGAAAAAGGAGTAAATTTCGGGACTTTAAACATGAAACAACCGCTGAATGCTGGGTGACCGCTGACTGCGGGGTGACCGCAAAACGGCGCCACCTAATACAGATTCAACCGTAGTTTGCTTCAGAGAGAGGGTTGAATACGTTATATATTAGTCGTGGTTACACTAGCCCTTTTACCCATGGATAAGTAGCGTTTGCCCATGGGTAAGTAGCGTTTGCCCACGGGCAAGGACGTTTTTGTGTGTAACCGCTTTCTCTAGACCGAAACTGCCCCAGGGTTATTTCCTTGGATACATCAAAAAGAACAAAAGAATTTCGCATGACAGTTCCTGAACTGTAAAAAACGGTTTATCTGCTCCCTGAGGTAGCTTAGCCAATCATAAAGCAGAATGTGGCTGATACAGGAAATCGCCTAATTTCACGCCTTCTTCGGTGCCTTCTCGCAAAAAACTGCTGGACTGTTATATTTATGGAGGACTGTCGTATAATAAGCAGGAGAATCACTGAAATTAAGCTTAATAGATCTCTCGCAATTTGTCAGGTCAGTGAACTAATATCTAATTATATTTGACCCTGAGGGGAGTCTTTACTGTGTAACCGCATCCCCAAGGGTAACATGAAACCTGAGCTTAACCAAACCCAAGCCATTTACCCTCCGTGAGGCCCCAAAACCCAAGGTGTGTGTAACCACCACTATTATACGAGGAACGAAGCTATTCCTGTCGATGACTTCCGTCTTTTGACACAGGACGTAAGTGTTACGGATTTTACGTTTAAATTGTTCATATTTCGAAATATTAATCGTTGTAAATCGACCATATTTCGTTCCCCATACTATTCCTTATAACGTGTTCAAATTTTCAACTTAATACCGAGTCACACAACGCGTGACGATTTCATGATTTTCTTGAGACGTGAGCTTGGGCCGCCTGTGCTCTTAGCAGCTGCCATCTAGTTCCCACGCAGAAAAAAAAATGGTTGTTGTGTTTTCCCTGACTCGCCCGAACAGTTGCTTCTTAAGTTACAATCTCTGATCAGTCGCCGGATAATACCTGTCAGCGCTAAAAGCTTTTGAAATAATTTTTCGGAGCTCCACCGGATTTGAATAAACCATTTGTAAATTAAATCACCTATTCTGATGCTAAAAATTTGGTTCACTGCTGTTTCAAGTGTAATCGCGAACTCGTGATTTCCGCACCGGATGAAGGAAGTATGTATAAACATGAAACACTTCGGATCGTTTTCAAAATGTGAGGGGAAAATCCATTTAATCAATAGATTCTCCTTTAAAAGTTTGGTGAAAAAAATTACAGAGTTTCAGATAAAATGACGGTAAAAATACTTTTGTTCCAGGTCCATTTGCGCCAACGAAATTTCGTGGCAGGATAAACAGGAATAAGACTCTACAATAATTTCGTGCTGGTGTTAAGCTGTAATATACTTGCCGTAGAGATCGACAAAACAGACGACTTTTAAGAGGAGAAGAAAAAGCCATAATCTATGAGTTATACGAGTGGAGATTTTATCAGAAAATATGGAAGTTACGCTAGTATAACTGCGCTTTTTGACTCACCCAGAAAAATCCTTCGTTCGCTTAAGAAGAGTCACAGACTCGGTTCGCTCCAGTTGGACCTTGTAAAGCAACAATAGCGAAATTGCAGCGCAGCACGTTAGAGCTATGAGGCGCTTCTTACAGCGGGAAGACACCATTTCAGGTAGTTATCATCTGGCGACCACCAAGCTACGGATAAAGATAGAGAAAGTGCAGATCAGCGAGCGTATGTTACGGTATCAGAATAAATTTTTCTCCGCGATTCTAAAAATAGGCATTCTTTTGGTATAGGGTTGAATATCACAGCTCTCATCAAATTGAGAAAGCGATACGTGGTGTTTGCTGTCACGCAATGTCACACACTTGCGATAGTCATTTCGATGCCTAAATTAAGTGAGCTCCTTACAAGTCAGTTCTTTTTTACCTATATTATCCTACCACCGGCGAAAAAAAGTTTTGTCTTGTATCATACTTGGCTCGTAGAGCCGGTTCTGCTGAACCTGCAGACTGGACTTTCGATTACCATTCGTTGGTGGTCTGCTTTTGCACTTGGAAACTCGAGTGATTTACAATGTACCAACCTAGCTACGAGAATATTGATCACTGATAGGTCCATTTTAAGGAGACCACGTATTGAGTTAGCAATAACCATAATATATCAGTCGAGTGCATTTGTAAGATAAACAGAACACTAAAAAATTCAGATAATACTGTTGTAGTAAGTTCATTTTACAATGTAATATGACCCAATGGAGACGTTTTAAAATTCCTGTGGCTAAATGACCTACAGCCGGGCACGGCCTCAAATAGACTAAATGCCTGGCAGTCAGAAATTTTCACAGAATTTCAAATGAAAAGTTCTTTATACTTCTTAAGAATATCAGATGTTTGTTGAGAAATGTCGAGCAATTCCAAAAATTAATTTGTTGTTTTAGTGGACGGTTGTCGACACTTATAATTACAATTATACGCTTCTGATCAGACTGCCGGGCACGGTCTCGAATAGACTATACGCCCGTCAGTACGAATTTTTTGTTCTCAGTACATGAGCGGGCGGTGAGCGCTTGCAAATCCTGCGATCTGATTGGTTCCGAGAGCCGGAAGCATTCTCTCATCCCGCCCGCTCTCAGCATGCGGTATCCCATCCGTTGGGTGTTGAGTCGCCTAAGACATCCCCAGCTTCACTGCAAATTTTCAGAAATAAATTTTTTCTGCTGGCTGGGCAGCATTTTCTAAGAAAGACTTCGGTCACGACTTTTAACATATAACATTTTTATGTGCAGCGTTGAGAGGACGACACAATAATAAGAAAAGTTGCCAATGGCAAAGGAAAAAACCCCCTGCAAAAATGGAAAAACCGGAAAATTTGCTGAGGAGCAAGACAATGCATCGAAAGACAGCTTTCAAAATAACGAGGCGATTGCTAATGTTTTTATATCAAGGCTTACATTAAGAAAAGGAAACCTAAATGCTATCATTATGTATAGAAAATTTTGGTTTGACGGCGACCTCTTTGATCGAAATCTGGACGTCAGCGTGGAGCTCCGCCAGTATCAGTCGCTTTCACCAAGGAAGTTTTTTATATTCTTGACAGAATGGTACTCTTTCTTTCTTCTTAGAGCCTTCTTTTTTTTGTTTGTTTGATTTTTTTTCTAATTAATACTTTCTTCCGCTTTTTATTTCTATGAACAAAGATTTTTCTGTAAGCAAAGAGCTTCCACGTGTGAATTTTGTTAAGTGCGCGATGTAGACAAAATATGGAAATAACACGAAAATCGAGCCCCAACATGAGCGGTTGCCGGGAAATTTCCCCAGGGGTTCGCTCAGATCTGAGATTCTGACACCTTCCAGATTAATTATCTTTTATTTGAAAATACTTTTTTCTAACTAACTCGGTTACTTTTAAAGATTTTAAAAAATTTTTACGGAAATGTTAGGTTGAATGTTTCAATCCAGCCCAGTCAAATAAAACAAAAATCGATTTTTTGGCCCCTGAAGGTGCGAGGTGACCGTAATTTAGATCTGCCGGCAGTTTAGCCCATTTGTAACCGTGCCCAGCAGTCTGACAACAAGCCAAGCACTTCTGAGTGGCGACTACCGACCGATATTGTATGATGCATAAGCTCGGAGAATTTTTCCACTAAGACAAAAAAAAATAATTTTTGGAATCGATTGACATTTCTAAACAAACATCTGATATTCTCAAGAAGTTTGATAACCTTTAATGGAACCTCTGTGAAAATTACTGATACCTAGCGTTTAGTCTATTTGATACTGTGCTCGGCTGCCGGGTATTAAGATACAGCATCTTAAAACTGCTCCTCAAAGTATTCCAGACTTCGGTGTAGATTGAGTGAAGACTAAACATTTGCTTCGGAAGCAGCTAATTCACACCATCGTGCTTATATCTGGATTGATTAAAAACCCAGCACGATACTTTTAAACGTCCTTGACCGTCACAAAAGCCCTGTGATTTCCATGGTCAACCACGCACCGCTTAGCCGACGGATCGCACCGAGGGTGACCTGATTCGAAATTATTAGAATAACTGACTCGAATTATCCTGGTTACCTTCCTGTTAAGACGAGGCTAGTGAAACACAAGAATATCCTCTATTGTAATGTTCTGACTTTTTAGGATGTGGTCCTAGTTTAAACTTCGTGGATATCGACTGAAGCTTGCTAAAGTTACACCTACCGTCTCAAATGAATTGTTTCAAACTTCAAGCTTCAAACTATGTCCGAATTGTCTATTAGTTTGCAACCTCAAATTTCGTCCTCAACAAGTTTACCGAGGCTGAAAAGTCATGTTTTGGAGATGGATTTGTCGTCACGGCCGAGGAATTCTTACCAATACTAATGCAACCAAAGTGTGATTTCTACCCGTCACGCGAGAAAACTGAAAAGTAAATAAATAAAAATAGAAATTGATGGACACCGATTTTAAGACTAAGTAGTCTAGGGAAAGAGGGCATTCTCTGTAAACATTCCAGCGGTTGCCGAGGAACGGTGAATACGTGACAAAAATTTGGCAAATAGAATCATGGTGAAATATTTACATGCGGCAAAGCGTTCTCCATTTGCTCAAGAGGATTCGAGACATCATGAAACATTAATCTACTGCCAAATTCTCCAAACACAAGATACTTCCAGGCGTACACTTGCTTTCTTAAACTAATTGAGCCAAACTAAACCGAAACAAATTTCTCAATTTACCGATAAATTGAAAAGAAAACCTCCATGGGATGTATTGTGATAATTGTTTACTACACAATATAACCGGTATCCTTTCATATTCAATGGAGAGAAAAAAAATAAAAAGTTCAATTGACCAGATTTTAAAAATCCAACGTCGCAGCTTTCATTTCGAGTTTCTCGCTCGCCGTCGAAAAAAAAGCAGCTATCTCGACAAAAACGCAACATTCACATCACTGCGAACGTACTTGGCAACGAAAAAACATTTGCATAATTATAACATGTTAAATTTTCCACTGCAAAGCAAAATTCACAAGAGTTCGATACTCGCTCTGGTGAAAGTTTCTTGAAATACTGCTCATTCTGCAATATTCCACCACAGCAAAGACTAGTGATGAAATGATAGGTTCTCTTTCGCAATAGAACTGCCAGTCTGAATGATATCTTTACAGATGGAAGACCGCAATTTGTAGAAAAGTCAATTAACAGCCGCCACAAACTGGAGCCAGTTTTGAATGGCGTAAAAATCCCCTCTTGAGTTAGAGATTGTCACACATTCAGCAGACATTTACAAATATTTCACCCTCCACTAAACTCTAGAATTTATACGTGGCATTCCGCGTTGTGTTTCTCCAAATATTGCAGCGCCATGATTATAATTGTCCTGCATCATTCGATTACACATTTTAAAAATACAGGTGTAGTTTATCCAAAATACCTTTTTACCTTACCATCTTTCTTTGAGCCGTATTTCTGAAGGAAGGTTAGTGCACCTTTCGAAAGCACCATCGATCAGTACAACTTGATTTCTTTCAACATCAACGATCATGCAAATTCAAACCAGCTTGTTGGTGACACGACAGGTGGCAACGTGTGTATTCAAAGTAATAACAAGGGGACAAAACAAACAATACCAACATGTCCTTAACCTGTTTACGTACAATTCGCATCACGCCACAAGACTTCTTCACGAAACTAAATAGATATTTTATTTGGCAATATAATTCTCTGTGCATTAGATTACATTGAAAAGAAAACGGAACTGATCGAGGAAGTGCTTCCTTAAATTCACAACTCCGGAAAAACTGGCGCGACCAGTTTACAGGCCTCCTCGACTCAAGAAGGCCGAGTAAGCTCATCTAGGAAACTCAAGGCATGGCCTAGGAAGATCCGTTTTTCTTGCCATTTAGAAGCCCTTTGAGGTTGACGTTTACAGGAATACGCTCTCTTCTCTCCAAGGGTGTTAGATTCATACAAAATCTGGAATGAAAAGGCCATCTCCAAAATTAGTATTAACTGTACTAGGCGATAACGACCCATATTGTCTACGCTGTCATAAGTGTTTCACAACTTATAGTTCAGTCTTATCTTTCATGGTTTTCTATCCACATCATCATGCAACAGAATAACATTCTAAACACACAAAGAAGCGTTTTGTCTTGGATTCGACGACATTTACAACGTTGCCTTCAGGTCCCATTAGAAACCCAAAAACTGTTCTCGCCTACATTTACAAACAGCTTAAATTGTGTGTGTTTTGGAAGGAATAAGAACAACTGCTTTGTCATCCAACAACCAAAGTTTTAGCTCAACTAATAAACACATGAAAGAAGTACCGGCTGCCATAAATGATAGGCTGGAAAAACAGGGCAAAGGGAAAATATCTCACGAATTTTTCCTTCGAAACAGTTCTTCTAGAGTTAACATGATATATCAAGGAAACCGTTATATTACCTTTTAAACTCTTCCAGTTCACGCTCTGCTTCATCCATTTGGGTAAGTTTCTACAAGAAACAAAAATTTGCAACAATATTCAACGAAGACAAAAAGAACTTGAGATTTCTATCACGCAAAGAAATCTTAAGCAAAACTTTAATTCTTTTGGTCAAAATCTGGTCAAGATTTCCGCAAAACCCTATACTCAATACGCATACAGTTTTTGGATAAAGAGAAATATGGCGAAAACAATAGATTGCCCTTGGGTGTGCGGCTTCGTTTTAAACTAGTATTAGGTTATACGGAAATCTGTTCCAAATCCTCTATAACTTTAAACCTTAACAACAAGACGGGCTCATGTTTCTATTCAATTGCACACTATTTGGGTACTCGCTCTACTTATTACATGTACATGTATCGATCGCGGAATAGATAGCGAGAGGAGTAGCCAATCAAATCGCAGATAGCAGACTTGCCAAAAAAAAATTACTGGTAAACAATGTTAGTTTTCCAACTGACTGAAAATTCTCTCCTCATAATTCAGCGATCCGAATTTTTAGGAAATCGACGACTGAATTTCCTTTTGGACTCGTTTTATGTAGTATCATAGTGGAAATTATCTCCTCATAACTCAGCGATCCGAATTTTTAAGAAATCGACGACTGAATTTCCTTTTGGACTCGTTTTATGTAGTATCTTACTGAGCGTCTGCCCTTCAGTGCTTAATCTCCATATTTTACCAAACATACAATCGGTCTGTGACGATAAACAAGGTTGTCAATTAGAAATGTTCAAATATTAGCAATGTCAAGTTAACGCCGCTGAAACCTCCTTAAAAAAACATACAGATGCATGATTTTATAGACCTCCTTTGGATTTGGCTTAGTGATAGCTTAAACCTACCTCGATATCTTCGCGCGGCATGAAAACATCATCATCATCTGAGTAAAAAATAAAAATATTTTATGAACAAATACGATAACACAAATAAGACAATGACAATTAGTCTAAAAGTAACCCACAGGTGAACGAACATTAAATCAATACAACATATTTGACTGTTATTGTAGCATGACTAATGGACAAGAGGGGATGAAACTGTCACTTAACTCATTTTTTGGCCATAACCAAAGGATTCGTGTTTCTTACCTACTGATGCCTTTTTCTTCTTTTTTCCTTGCTTTTTCTGTGGTGGTGGACCGCCTGTTTTCTCTTGCCCTTGGTGTTTGTTATTGCTAACAGGGCCACGATCAGGTGATCCCGATACCTGTCGTATTTTCTCCGCCTTCTCTTCCGTCTTTGTCCGCGCACCGAAGTTGCACTCGTTTTCGTGACTCTCTACTTGGCGTGACATCGTGACATCTTGATTTGAGTGATTTCTCTTCTTTCGCGCCTTGCCATCATTGTCTGGTGTTTGTAGTTGTTTCTGTTCCTGTTCTTTACCCCTGTGTACTGGTTTGCCGTTTTGTAGTTCTTTTCCGTTAAGAGCGGGTGTTTGGTAGTTTGTGGTCGCGTCAGACTCCCGTTTGTTCCTCAATGCATCACTCGTGCCGTTGTGATGAATCCCATTCACGTTTCCTCGGTTGGAGGGGGAAGATGGAGGAGCTTTGTCGTCTATTTGATCATTTGTGTTCTCATTCTGCTTAGCCTTCTCAGCCGCCTTGGAGAAAAAATTGTTCCAAGTAAGGTTTTTTTTTTTCAATATTTCATTCGTCTACTTAAATATTAAACATTCAAGTATTCACGTAATCAATCAATAAATCAATAATCGAAGAACATGGCGTGGGAAGAGAGAGTAAAGGGGAGGGGAGGGTAGTACAGACATTGGACAGGTAGTGGGGATTAGAACTCACATTGTTGGGTGTGCCAAAAAACTTTGGATTAGGTAGGTTGCTTGGCTTGCAACATCACCACTGGTTTACTTTTAATTATTGCCGATGTTGTTGTCAGTTTTTAACATCAATGTCATGATAGCGAAGATGATGATGATGGCGATAAACAGTAAAAAAAAACATTGCAGTATCAGTTATTTACTTTGAGTCCCACTCACCTTCTTTTGTTTTTGCCGCGCTCTTTTTTGCGCTTTCGATTTTGCCCCCAGTCTTTCTTCTTCCATTTTCTGCCCATTGATAAACGTCAAGAGATCGTCCAACGACCGGTGATCAACGACTGTCGCATTCGCCGTCTTCTTGTTGTTCTTGTTCTTGTTCTTGTTCTGATGTACCGGCTTGTTTGGCTTCGAGAGAATAAAATCGGTTACTTTTAAAGTTCGAGAAATTTTCCACCAACTATAGCGCCAATTTGCATCTATCAAATCCAAAGCGTCATTGCAAACATATAAACTTCGATATTCCAACAGCCCTGTAAAGAGTTAAACGATGATTCATCTGCCATAAATGTATGCACAGGTAAAATTTTAGACTACTCAGGAGACAAATAGTAATAACACCTGAACACTAAAAGCTCACTTTACCTGCCGTTCGTTGTATCGTCTTCTTAACTTGTCCCGTATCTCAGTGTAATTGCGACTGGTTGGTGCCACAGGAGGCTAAAAATATAAATTTCCACAGATCAGAGAAACTTATGATGCAAAGTCAGCATCTTTTTAACCTGAAATCAGCACTACACCTGTCAATAGAGGATGACATGTATGTAGAACTCTTAAAAGTACGTTTGTGGAACGATCTGGTCCACTTTCCCTATTCACTCATTTCAAACCGACACAAAAATATTTTGGCCAGCTCTTAATCCATCTCTCGGTTTCAAAACGTGTACGCAAAAATCAAACAAGGTTACTTGGTTAGAAGTAAACAGTCTACTTACTGCAGCATGGCCGAAGAATTCACAATAACAACAATCGCAGTATTTCCCACGATCCGTCCGGCCATCATCCGTTGATGACGTACACTGATTGACAGGTGGAGTGTCGCATGAGCTACCATCTCCACTGCTCCGTACACTTGATGGGGAACCAGGGGGGACATCAAGGCCCAGGCCGTCAATGTCTGCAACAAAAAAAGATCACATCCAAATTAAAAAAAAAAAGGAACATAAAACGCTGACACAAAACAAGGTCACATTTCATTTGTGTTCAACAAAACCAGTCTTTTGGCTTTGAGGAACATGTGACAAAAAATCTTCGAGGTCGGCAAATATTGAGAGCAGTAAAGGAGCTCTTAATCCATTGACTAATCAGGCCAGGAGTGACTAGCTTACTAGATTACTCCTACATCAACTATTAGGATCACGAGAACAAAGGAAATAGCCACAAACTAAAGAAGCTCCTGATTGTTGAAAAAAATCTCCTTGTTAGCACCTTGTAATGTATGGAGAACAGTACGGAGAATATGCTTACTGATGTTAGGGTGTGGAGGATTAATCTCTAGAGAGTCGCAGAGGCCGTTTAAAGGAAAAACAAGGAAAACATTTAAAATATTAAAATCTGTGGAAATTTTTCTCTAAGTATACCAAGGAACAAAGGAGACACATTCTTCTTTGCATGTAAAATGTTCTACCTGAGGACTGGCTTGTTCTCCTCGGTGAACAACTGCTCACGTCATCATCGTCATCGTCTACATCATCATCGTCATCATCATAATCACTATTGATGTCACTAGAACTGTTATTTCCGTCATCCAGTTCAGTGCATCCATCCGGGCTGTCATGGTAACCATTATGATTGACGTGCCTGAGGCTGTCCGGGAGAAAGCTGTGAAGATCCTGACGATGGATCTCTGAGAGGTGAAGGGAGGTGGCAGGGAGGGGCTTGCCGTGATGTGGATGAAAGTAATTGCTGTGAATTGGATTGTTGTTTGGGGATGAAGCGTGGACTGCAGGAAAGGGATGGGTGGTAAAGTTCTTGTTCTCGGCCTTAAGTCTTGTTTCCTGATCCTTTACACCATGATAGGGGCACTTACTACACTGACATTCGGCCATCTTGCTACCACTCGTATGCTTAAAGGGAAACAAGGAAAAGCCTCAACTAAAGGTGGTTACACATACAGTACCGCTCAAGAGTAAGTTGACAGTCTCGACTCGAAACTCGATCCTCGAAGCTATCGAGAATCGACGGTTGACCATCAAGGATCAAGACGTTCAAAGAACTTTTCGAGGATCTAGATCGCATTTTACTTTATTGTACCTCATTCCCAGAGTCTAAAGCAAGTTGTTTCATGTATCGCCTAGCTACGAACACTGAACATAATGTAACGTTCTGTGCTGTTCCATTCTGTTCTACACTGTACTTTAATGCACTGTCATTGCAATGAACATTTACATGCCTCTTTTCAACAAGGACACCACACAACCCAAAATTAAATGAAAAACTTCAAACAGGAAACCACTCATCTTTCCCTTTCAAGTTTTCCTTGCCTTTAATTACGTAAACGTGATATAGCCAAGGTATCGCACCTGTTCTGTACTTTTAACTCCTTCCCGATACCCAGTTGTACCACTACATGCTGAGCATTGACAAAGATTTGCTCCACCATTCATCATGAGAGGTGGCGGCGGCAGAAGTTGGGAGGGTGGGATACTATGGAGGTCATTAGCCACCAAAAGGTGAGGACTGAAGTTTGGCACCGACACTGGGTTTGTCCACTGCATCCTGCTACCAGCTGTGTTATGAGTGGATACTGCAGCTGAGATGTGATTGCCGCAGGGTTTTGTGTGTGAACTTGCTGTTTTAAAAGGTGGTATTGATGGTACTGGTGAATTGAGGGGCAATGAAGGAACACTGCAGTGACCACAATGACACCTAAGTAGTAGAAATTAACACATTTAATAAACGTAACACAGAGGACTATCCATCCATTTATAGTGGTCACAACTAAATTAAATGGTAATATCCCACTTCGTGCAACACACATTAAACCAAGTTTTGTCATGACTTTCTACGCAATGTCATATGTAAATGTACATTTCTGAGCCTTAAAAGTACTCCGTAGAACCAGGACCTTGAAATATTCGAAGTCGTGCCAAAGGATTGGCTCTCGTTATGCAATTCACAATTACATTTATGTACCACATAAAATTAGTATACGTGACAACATAATTTTGATTGCAATTTGGTGTTAACAAGCACGAGTAGATTTTTCAAAGACAAAAAAATTAATGAAGCCCATCGGATGAACGCGATTTGAAGTCCTTGAAAAAAAAATAAAAAGCTTATTTACACCAAATTGCATTTGAAATCATGCTATTACTTATTAATAGTTTACATGAAGAAAAGCATCTCAGAAAGTCGAGAAACGAAATTTTGACAGCGTGCGCGCTATTTGCAATTTGCACCCGTGTTACAAATTGACACTCGTGTTACTTGAAAAATGCACTTGTTTAAGCCAATCCCAGCCCGTAATTTTTTTTCCCGCATATTATTACAATGCATATCAAATTTTGATTTGAATTGACGAGAGACACTGATTTGTTGACCAAGTTTCCGAGCTTTTGATTTTAACTAAACGGAACCAAGTGAAAAGGTCGGTAAGAAATAAAGAATATGAGCATTGGAAAGAATAAAATACTAAAGTTATTCTCACACTGACATCCAGGAATGTAGATAATAGCCGGAAGCCGGAAAAATTACCCGGCTGTGAACTCAATTTATCCGGCTGTGAAGCACTACTTCTTTCTCCAAAATGTTTTTAAATGTTGTCAGAAGATTGTTATTTATTTATTTATTTCATTTGTTTACACCTTCAAATCTAGGTATAGCGTGCCAAAGGCATGCTAGAGTGGGCCTTCGGCCCACATACCCGCCTATCATTGCAAGATTCCCGCCTTTTAAAAACTTTAGCTACATCCCTGGACATCTATAATTTATTAATGAACATGTTGTAAACGATATCAATTATGTATCAGCAAAGGAAGGTACTGTTTCACTTGAGTTAAGACATTCACTGAAATTTTAAACATCACACACAACTCCAGACAATATTACTATTGAAATTACAACGTAAGACCAATTCAAAACTTACTTTTGTTGAGTAAGCTTCTTGGAACCCTGTTTGGGAAAAATAAAAAGAAAGAGTATATTTGCTTGGCAGCCACTCACAACTTGTTGACCATTCAGAAATACATTCATCTTGTTTGCCACAATGCGTTCTCACAAAATCCACAGAAACGTTGTTCTCGTTCTCTTAAGAAATTGTTCTACATGTCTACTTGGCCGTCATTTCATTGCTTTCGCCATTTTATTCCTTTGGTACTAAAACCCAGTTTTAGTACCAAATACAAATGCAGTTTGATTATACTTTTTACTCTTGAGGAGCAAAAGATGTATGTTTATCACTGCTGATTCTAGGATACAAATTCATATAATATACCAACCAGAACTATCCTATTTTTCCACTCTACTCCTGTAGAATCATCTTCCCACTCCACTTTTGGTATGCCGGTTTTTTCGCGAAGTTCAGCCTAGGAGTTAAAATTTACACCATAAAAAATTCTGAAATAACTTGGTGGTAAGATAAAGTATACAGTTCTATACGTGAAGAAAATGGGAAAGAATCTTATAAGAACAAAAGAAAGATCTTAGTTTACCTGTTTTTCTTTATAGAATTTGAACGCTCTCTCACTCTCTTTCCATGAAAACTCAATCTCAGTGAGATCATCAGTAAAATTAAGGTACCTTTGTACAAAACAAAAATGAGTTTAAAAATAGCACTATCTGTCACAATAAGAACGAAGTAAAAAGCCTATTCAATCCAAAATTTTAGGACACTTAAAACTGAACCCATCTGCACGTCTGAGACTAGTAGTTTTTGGCTCTGACAACTAAAACTTGTTTGACACTTGCCCAAGTGGAAACACACAATTTATCTTAATGAGTATTTTCTTCCAGTTTTCCTTCCAAATTTGAAATAAAGTCACAATCAATGATCACAAATAATTTATACTTTGAACCTGCCTGTTGTTGTGTAAGTAGTATCACTACTTTTTAAAAGATATGAAATAACTGCTAGTAAACAAATCAACTGACTATGATCAATGTGTTCAAAAGGATGAAAAGACTGATTTGGCTCATGCATCTTCATCTTTATTGGCAGCTGTTCAGATAATGTCATGATTCCTTTAAGAGGATAAAATTGGGCAATTTGTCACAAGCAGCCTAGCGCTTCCAAGCATGTAAAAACATGCCTATTACAATCATTTGAATGATTCTCATATGATCTGAAATGGGTAGCACCAAGGTTACAAACACATCTGCCAAATCCAAGTCTTTTTTAACATCAATCACCATAATAGCAATATCTTTGTGCCTTAGGTAGGGAGACAGTAGTTTATAATCAAAGATTATCACAAACTAAATTACTTGGACTGACCTGTGTAGTAAGTTTGGAAATGTGTCCTGATGAAAATTCTCTTTTGCAACTGCACCTAGTCTAAAAACAACAACAAAAAAAGGTTTAATACATACATGTGCATGTACAAGCAGATTGTAAGGTAAATGCAATACAAACATCCTGAACTACTCAAGGTTTCAAGCCTACATGTACATGCAGATTGTAATGTAAGTGCAAAACAAACTTCCTGATCTACTCAAGGTTT